GTCCTTGCACCATGTCTGCACGCCCGAGCTTGCGCAGCGCCTGGAAGTTGAGGTGACCATACCGCTCATGCCAGCGCCACGCCATGTCGCCGACACTCGCGGTGAGGCACACCGGTGCGGCGATGTTCATGTCGAGGAAGTAGAGCCGGCTCGGTGATCGGTGCACCTTCGCCAGCAGTTGCCGCTCCAGGTCGAAGAGGCGCAGTATGCCCGACTCGATGTTGACCTTGAACCCGTCCTCATCCATCTGGCCGAGACTGATGATGTTCGTGGTGAGGCGCGGGATGTAGTAGACCCCATCTAGTCGACGGTGTTTGTCGGACTTGCAGGTGAAGAGCACAGTGCCCTTGCCCTGGATGTCAACCACCGATCTGTCCCCAAACTTGACGGTGCCAGTGACGCCGATGTTTAGCTCGGCGAAGACAGTGCGTGTTCCCGTCATGTGGTTCGTGGCCCCGGTGTCCAGTACCCAGTGGCGAGACGCCATGGCCTCCTTCTCTTCCTCACTGAGGTGGAGGAGCACCTTCGGTTCGACGAGGTGGACACGTGCCTGTGGCTCAACGACGGGCGGTGGTGACCTGGGGTGGCAGCATGACACGGACGACGCGATTACCTCGGCATCTGCGGCGATATACATCAGCGCGTGCTCATCCTCCTTAGCCTGCACAACATGTGCCGCGCCCTTCTTCTTCCCATGGCAATCCTTGGCCCAATGGCCGGACTTGCCACAGTTGTTGCATAGGGTACCGGGTGGTGGCCTCCCGCCACCGGCGTTCCCGCCGCCTGTAATCTGGCCATCACTGCCATCACGCGTTGAGGATCCCACACCGCCGCGACCGCGTCCTCGCGGTCGGCGCTTCCCGTGGCTGCTGGGGCCACCGCTGCCACCGGAGTTCTCCTGCTCACGGCGCGCTTTACGGCGGGCCTCCCAGTCCTCCTCGCAGAGCATCAGGCGCCCCATGGCGTCTGTGACCTCCTTGGGCTTGGCGCGCTCCTCGAACATGCGCAGCCGTCCGACCACTCCTCGATGGTGACCTTGTTCAGATCAAGGAACATCTCGAGGGAGACAGCGGCTTGGTTTAGCCTTTCAGGGACACCTGCAGCAACTTCTTCACTACCTCAGCGTCAGTGATGTTGTCGCCGAGGGAGCGGAGGTTGGTGGCGAGCGCGGTGATGCGGATGCCGAACTCGTTGACGCTCTCCCCTTCCTTGAAGGAGAGGTTCCCGAATTCCCGACAGAGCTGCTACGCGCTGGCGTCGCGCACGCGTTCGTCGCCGATCCGCAAGTTCTTGACCGTGTCCCATGCCTCTTTTACCGTGCGCTTGACGACGAGGATGCTCCAGAGCTCGGAGGGTACCGAGCGTAGGAGCCCAGCCATCGCCTGTCTGTCATCGTGATACTCATCTTCATCGGGGTCCTCGGCGATGCCATGGTGGACAACGTCCCAGACTCTGAGGGTCTGGAAGTTTACCTCCATGACCAGGGCCCATTCCGAATAGTTTGTCCGGGTCAGCATCGGCCACGCGACGTTCGCTGATGGTCGCTCAATGATGCGCTCGACGACGCGCGACCCGGCGTCCCGGTTGCGCGAGCGGTGGCTGTGAGAGCGGACACAGCGACGTGGCGGCGATTTCGACGGTTGGACCTTCTTCTCGCCGGAGGCATCACCAGTCAGCAGCTTCTTGGATGGTGACTGTGACATGGCAACGTCGGGACCTGGCTCTGGTACCAAATGTCAGAATCCCGAACCGGCGAGAGGAAGAAGATGATGAACACACGCGATCACAGTGGACACACGATGATTTGTTGCTGCAAAGCGGCAACGTTTTCAGTTGCTTTCTATCTCTATTTGAAGGAAATACATGCATCTTTACATGGTCACTAAGAACCGAGAAGATCACGGCACGATCGTGATCGGCCACTACCATCCCAGCGCCCTGGGCCGTGCTGTGAAGAGCGCGCAGCATGCGCGTCGTGCGCAGTCAGCTGATCAGAGATCGTGCACTGATCTACTTCCTAAGAAAGAAACACAATCCTAGGCTTACTATAACAGATGGCACCGTAAGGTAGCACCTGTGAAGCATCAATCAAATTCCATTTGGAGAGACATATAAGAATGATAGAGAAACCTTGTCTACATAACTTACTCTATGCTATAGAAGGTACATGCATGTAAATTATAGAAGGAGCAGCTCTGTAAAGCTGCAATTGAAATATCAGACGATAAAAGTTAAAAGATGTCCAAATCTGCAAATGTTGCGAGGCCTGAAATCTAATAGAGGGAAGGGCACTTCTTGCTACACCTATGTGTCTGGACACACCAACACATGATGACATGAATAGAACAGTGTCAGTGAAAATATGTCAAAAACACAAAACTATACATTTTGCAGTTTATTTCAGCAGTATGAGGAAGAGCATCCAAGTAAATGAGACACCAACTGAATTTGTAGAACAGTTTGACATCATCCCATTACATATGCTAGACTTGAAAACATTTCTGCTAGAGTATTTCCAGAGCAGTTTCAGTACGGTCAAGAACTCAAGATTGGCAATAACAGATTGATTACGAAAAATATTTTAAATGACTTTTTTAAGCAAGATAACATACGCTTTTTTATCTAAGATTAGACCATTATATATTTTATTTTGCTTGCTTAAATAAACCACCGAAGAAAGCGAAAGCTACAGTCATTCTTAGCTCAATGAGTAAGACCAAATTTGCATCAAGAACGAAACGCCATTCCAGACTTCCGGTGGAGATCTGCTCACCGTAGCCGAGCAGGACATGGTCGAGGGACGCGAAGACGGAACAGGAAAAGACGTATCTCCAGCAGCTGCCGCCTCTGCCGCGAACACGGATGCCACCGCCGTCCTGCGACTCCTGCAAGAGCACGCCTTCCACTCACGCGTACGAGTTCTTCCTCCCCAAGAACCCCAGCAAGGTGTCGCCGCCACCGGCCGCCACATCGCCCCCCAATTCCCATCACCTCTGCGGCGTTTTTTCTTTCCACGGGAGCTGGGGAAGGGGAAGAGGATGAAGCGGAAAGTCGAGGCACTGCGAGGGTTTTTTTTTCAGAGGCTCTAGGCGGCGCCATTGAATGAACCAGGAGCGAGCAAAAGGACGCGGACACACGCACGAGGCATGTGGAGGCGTCCGATTCGTGAACAGTAACCAAACGGTAGCTACAGCGCTCTCATCGCGCGGATGTAGGAGCTGAGCCCGTTCGCTCGGTCGTAAACGATCGTGGATTATTTACTGCTGACTGATTTGGCTGGTTTGGTGTGAGAGAAAAATATTGTTTCAGCTTATAATCCACGATCGTATACAATCGTATAAGCCCAGCCGAACAGGTTATTCGAGTAACCTTTGCATTCTCTTTTGCAACAAATAGTAAATGTATTTTATTTTCTGAGTATATCTTAGGCCTCGTTTGGTAGGACTCTGACTTCGGCTTCTTGCGACTTCTCGCAAGGCTCTGTCAAGAGCACATAAAAATGCTCCTCACAAGGAACTCGGAGGAGTCGAAGTCGGTTTATTATAGAGGAGTTAGAGCAAAAAAAAAAGTAGCTTCCCCTGGGTAATCCTTATAAACCTAATACAAGTTATTATAAAACTACTGCTGAATCTATCTTTACCAAACGTTTTTGAAATACGGCTTCAGAATCGTTAGAGAAGCTGCTCCAGGTGAGCTAAAACCAGAACCCTTTTAGAAAGAGCCAGAGCCCTACCAAACATGGTATTTTGAGGCTTTTGCATAGTTTACCCTCACCTTGGAGTCTAAATTTTCATCTAAGTTTTTTTCTCCATCTTTAGACCGACTCCAACCGAACACGCATAGTGTGACCCAAACCCAAAATGGGTTGCTCACAGTGTTTTATCCGCGTAAAACACTTCTCCAACGGAGCAGGCAAACGAGCGACGCATTTTGAGTGGGAGCCGACACGGGACGCAAATAAGCGTCTTCTCTCCGTCCTTCTGCGTCTCCACGCTGCCGGAGCTCGTCCGCGCCCAGGGGCACCGCGCTCCTCTGTTCCTTCCGTCCGCAAGAGAGAGAAAGTGAGGGGGAGAGAATGAAGCGGAGGGAGAGAGAGAAGCAAGGCGGCGTGCAGACCGGGGAGCACCGGCGACGGGCTCGGCGGCCTGCGGCCGTCTCCCACGAGAGAGAGTCAGCAAGGGGAGAGGGGGAAGGGAGAGCGCTCGGCGGTGCTATTGCCTCGGTGCGGATTGAAGGGAGGGAGAAGCAGGGAAGCAGGAAGAAGAAGAGGAGGGAAAAGGGAAGAGGGAAGAGGGCAGACCGGAGGGAGAAGAGCTCGTCTGCGCTAGATCTCGCGCCGGAGCCACTTCTCGAGGCGGCGAACTTCCTCATGGGCAGGGGTGTTGGCGGCCTCCCTGGCGCTCGATGTCGGTGAGCACGTGCAGCAGCAGCTCAACGCGGTGCTTGGCGTCCTCGGCGCCCTCGGCGAGGGCCAGGTTCTCTTCTTGGCGCAGAAGCTCGTCCACTTTCTCCCCCCACGAGCAGCGGAGGAGCGGGCGGAGGGGGCGCGGTGAGGCGGGCGGCTGTTGGAAAAGTGACTTGGGTCCTTGACCCATTCGCTGTGTAGTACCCAAAAAGTGAAGTTTTTGGGTCCTTGACCCATTCACTGTGTAGTACCCAATACATCGAATGCCTCTTGTTTTTAGTCCGGCTCGTTGGAGACAGTCTTACGCCCTTATCCTTATGTAGTGTCGAAAACATCTGCCGTGCTGCAACCATTCTCTTTGCTTGCTAATAATCAGTGGTAATAATGATGAAACATTCTCGAAACAGTACGGTACTGTAACAAAAGTAACAAAAAAAAATCGAAGGAAAATTGATACTTGCTCCGTAAGCTCAAACTGGGCCTCCAAAACTCGGGCCCAACCCCATGAAAGCCCACATCTGTACCCTGTCCTTGCCGGCTCCGTCGACCGTCTCCCCGTGGAAGTGAAAGGGCCTTCGGGCTTCAGCTCCAGAAGATGCTGCGCTGCCGTGCCGTCCTGCTCCTCCCACTCCCACTCCCTCCGCCGCCTCGCTTGCTTCGCCGCCTGCCGCACCCGCGCGCCCTCTCGTCCTCGTCGTCTTCCCCGCTCCCACCGCCGGGGATGGAGGCTTCCTACAAGTTCGGGCCCTACAAGATCGACGCCAGGGAGGTCTTCCACGCCACGCCCCTCTCCTACGCCATGGTGAATCTCCGCCCGCTGCTCCCGGGTGGGTAACACACATACCCATGCTCCCTCCCTTTTCACTTCGCCTTCCATGATTCTTGCCTGCTTCGTTACCGTAGCCGCAGCCACTCCCGAACTCATTGCACCGTAGCATTTTTTTTTTAGCTTGGGAGTTGCTGGAACTGGAAGATTAGTCGTCGCGACAGAAAGTGGGGGAAAGTATAAAAATTCCATCTTTCTCGCGGAGATGTGGTTGATGGAAATTAGATTGATCAAACGTTGGTTCCCGAAATGCTAAATAAAACTTGTGTGTTCAGAATCATGCCCTGCTTCTAACAAATTCGGCAAGGCAACAGTGTACCACTGCACCATTACTCCAATAGGGATTGTTTCTCTCGGATAGGCATTGTTTCAGTAGGCAAGGATCATGGGCAGTGCCTTCTGTGTTGGCTGGTAATCCCAACCAAGTTCTCTGCAATCTCATGGTGCTTTATCTAATCCCTGCCTACAGAACAAGCTATAACAATCCCATTCAAGATTTTCTCCTCATGAAACCTGAGACTACTGGCTAGTTCTTCCCGTAGACATTGCATTTAAGCTTTGCATATCTCTAAACCACCACATTGCATTTCATTTTTTCACCATAGACACTGCATTTAACAAATATGAATCTTTCTTATGCAGGTCATATCCTTTTAATTCAGCGAAGCTGGAACTGTACTTTATTGGAAGTTATTTTCAGGCAATTTTGCAGTTTTTACTATTCAGGTGCCTGTGCAACCATTTCCTCTGTCAGAGCACTGTCTAATGATTGCTCAGTGCTCACTTCAGTATAGTTCATGAAGAACATTCAAACAAATATGAAAGGAACTAAGCGGTAGCATTTTTCATCAAACATTTGCATTGGTTCTCTTCTTTTTAGACCTGATTATCAAGTCTATCTAGGGGGATCAAGTTTGCTTTAGGTACTGATTTAGTGGGAAGGACTCTGTTTTGTTGAGCCACTGACTTCATATCTTGTTCATCTTTCCATGGAGACCATCTACAATTCTATGCCAATGTGCCATTATTATTTCTTTTCTATGACATGCAGCAGTTCCACTTGCAGAATAACTGTATGGCTGCAACTAAGTTGGCTTTATTAAAGAAAAACTTTTTTGTGACTTTGCGATTGGAGTTGTGATTCAATTTTTGTTGTGTTGTCATTTGGTGCAAAGCTGCCATAACTCATAAACCCACACAAATAAATTTATTGAAGTCAAAGTTTATACATCACATGTTGAGGAAAATGTGTTCTTTTATATGCATCATTTTTTCCTTGACAATACATACATGTTCTTGTGTGCCCCAAGCGTGAAGTGAAAAGATTCGCTGATCTAAGCTCTGATGAGATTAGTGACTTATGGGTTACTGCAAAGGAAGTTGGTGCGCGTCTTGAGCAGTACCACAAAGCATCTTCACTTACCTTTGCTATCCAGGTATGGTCTGTACTTCAGTTTCATTGTTGTCGTGAGCCCATCCTTTCATTGCTCAATACTAAATTTATACAGTATATAAGGTGTCCAATTTGGGTGTCTAAAACGTAAATATGATCAACATTGTGGAGAATATCATATATGTTTGTACTATGTCATACAGGCTATGCTAACTCCATTTTGCTCTTGTACTATTCATACCATTGATTAACTTGTTATGGACTTATCTTTGTTATATTATGATGCCATGAGGTTCCTTATTAACAAGTGATATTACTGTAGAAGTTAAGTCCTGCTCCCAGTTATCACTTAGTTATCTGTGCTTAATTATGTTTCTGCTATTAAGGCCTTGGGCAGCACAAGTGACTGTGCAAGTACCAGGCGAGTTAATTTGTTTAGTTAATGCTCTAATGAGCCATCAATGTAATCAATGTGCTACTTATCTCCTATATATGAAAGAAGCGATCGCTTTGGGTTTGTAAGCCACGGGTGATCATTTCTCTGTTACCTCCAACATTTGGTACCAGAGCTTAGGTTAGACACCTTCTCACCTTCTCATCTTCTCCATGAGCGTCAACCTCCTCTGAAGCGCCGGGCTAGGAAGACCAAGGGAGCCAGCGAGGCGAGGCGGGCCCCTGGCCGGGTCAAGCAGCGCTGAAGGCAGAGAGGAGGCGGCGGCCCAGGCGGCATATCAAGCAAGACCTGAACTGCAGCCAGGCCATGGCGGCGGCCAGAGCAAGCAGCAGGAGATGGAGGAGATAGCAGCAGAGAAGGGAGATGAGGAGGAGGAGGAAGAAGAAGAAGAGGAGGCCCGGAGGAAGCCGTGGCCGCGGACTCCGCCATGAGACAAAGCGCCCGTCGCGATCCTGCTTCGCGTGACCGAAGAAAGCGTCGTGGCGGCGGTCGCTATGAGTCGCCATAAGCGGGGTGGTCTACCGCGATTCGGCAGCTGTGCACATCATGGCCAATCTTTGGACAAGACCAATTATTATGAGTGGAGCAGACGATGAAGCTCGGGATGCAGCGCGCGACCTACGGGAAGCTGTCGAAGGAGGCCAGTCAGCGATTCATGACGACAAGCGAGCTCTGGAGGTGATCGTCATTGCTTGTGCCCAAGGAGTTGGGGCTCCGCTCCTCGACAAGGCGACGGCAAAAGAGGCATGGGATGCCATCGCTGCGACTCGTATCGGTGTGGACAGGGTCCGCCGAGCGACGTTGCAGCGACTGCGTCGGGAGTGGGAGAACATTGACGTCAAGCCTGGCGAGCCGGTGGAGGATTTTGCCCTGCGGCTGTCAACTCTGCACCGGCGGTGGTGCTTCATGGAGACGAGGACATCGATGAGGGCGTGTTGTGGAAAAGTTTCTGCGCCGCGGTGCCGACCAAATCTGCAGATGGTCGTCGTCGCCATTGAGCAGTTCCTCGACTTCGAGGCGCTCACGCTTGAAGAGGTGACAGGAAGGCTCAAGGCGGTGGATGACCGTGAAGCGCAAGTTGTGACAGAGCCGGTGTCCATCAACGGCAAGCTGCTTCTTACTGGCGAGGGAGCGATGGCGTCACGCGTTTGAGGAAGGAGAAGAAAAAGGTGAGAAGAAGTTTGGCGGTTCTAGTTTCAAGAACCGGTAGCGGCGGTGGCGGAGGACCAGCCCATGAGGTGGACGCTGACGGGCAGAGAGTCTTTGGCCGTGGCGGCGAGACGTGGAGAAGGCAATGGGCCCGGCCGTGTTGGCTAACACGTGTCTCAACCGCCATCGGGGAAGGGCATTAGGCGGCGTGAATGTCCCAACCGCGCCGTGATGGAAGCAGAGCGGCGGCGGCGGGGAGGAAATCATGGTGGGCCTTGGCGGGAAACCGGAGGAAGGCCGTGGCGGTTGTAACCAAAAGCTGGGCAACAAGGAGGACATGAAGGCGTGCCCGGTTCTTTGAAGTGTGGAAGATGCGGCTCTGTTCTGTCTCACGGCTTCATTGAGATGGAACGAGCACGCCGGAGCTCAACTATCTGTTGCAGCCGCGTTGAGTTTCTTTGAGCCACGTCTGGCGTGCTTATCCGGGAACAGATGATGAAGAGATGGTGGCGGTTTGGTACCTTGATTGAGCGCAACACACCACATGATTTGGGCGGCGTGACTGTTTTTGAACTGAACACGGACGTTCGAGGCACGCAGTTCGGTTCGGGACGCGCCCAAGGTGGAAATCAAGGCGTTGGCTCAATTGTTTTTGAAGCAAAGGCTGGTGAGCATCGTGTTCTTCATGGAGTTTATTTCATTCCGGCGTTGAAGAACTCGATCATGAGCCTCAGTCAACTTGATGAGAATGGCTCAAAGGTGGTGATTGATGATGGAGTCTGCTGGATTTGGGAACGCAGCAGATGATCGCTCTTGGCCAAGGTGAGGCGTGGCGCGAACCGGTGTATGTCTTGCATATGAAGACAAAGACTGCCTGTGTGTGTCTTCTTGTGAGGATGAGGAAGCGTGGAAATGGCATGAGCGTTTTGGGCATCACGAATTTTGAGGCCTGCGGAGGCTTGGCAAGGAGGAAATGGCAAGAGGGATGCCAAAGATCGATCATGTTGAGCAAGTGTGTGACACTTGTGTCACCACCAAAAGAGGAGGCGATCATTTCTGCTGCTGGCAACATATCGTGCTCGGGATCACCTTGAATTGGTGCATGGTGATCTCTGTGGGCCGATTACACCAAAGCAACTTCGGCGGTAATCGCTATATTCTTTGCTTGTAGATGATGCCACACGATTCATGTGGGCGATCTTTCTTTGTCATCTAAGGATCTTTGCGGCGAGATGCTATCAAGAAGGTGAAGGCTGCTGCGAGAGGTGGAGAGTGGGCGAACCGAAAGTTCTGCATACAGATAATGGAGGAGAGTTTTTATTGCGAGAATTTTTGCTTATTGTGCCAATGAAGGAGTCTAAAGGCATTACGGTGCTCCTCATTCACCACGATGAGAATGGCGTGGTGGGCGTAGAAATCAAACCGTGGTGGCCATGGCGTGCCTTACTCAAGCGGCGCCGGATGCCGCCGCCCAAGTTTTGGGGGAGGCGATGATGACTGCTTGTGCATATTCTCGAATCGGTCACCAACCAAGGCTCTAGGTGATATCACTCCCTATGAAGCATGGCATGGCCGAGCACCCCTTGTTGGCCATCTGAAGGTGTTTGGTTGTGTGGCATATACTGCGCCGTTTGTCTCATTTCAGGAAACTTGATGATCGTGGTGAAGTTGGAGTATTTATTGGCTATCTTTGAAGGAGCAAAAGCCTATCGAGTTTTGATCCCGACATCTCGCGTGATGTACGTGTCGGCCGAGATGTGGTTTTTTTGATGAAGGAAGAGGTTGGGATTGGACATCACCGGTGAGCAGGTACGTCTGGGCAGGTGGTAGTGATTTTGTGGTGGAATTTCCTTGGGAGGAAGAAGTCCCAGGGAGCTGGAGGTTCGGTGCAGTCACACTCATCTCCTCGGCCCCATTACGCCTCACACGAAGCCTTCCAGCCAGCCAGAGAATCGGTGCTTGATACAGGAGAAGAGGTGTACGAGACATCGAGCGCCTTCACCATCACCGGCTCAGCCAGCCCACAAGTGGAGCACGTGACTCCTTGGAAGATGATGAGGAACGGTGGATACTTATCACAACGACGAGCAAGCGCGCTATCGTACCATAGATGGCATATTAGGCGGGGAGCAGGGAAGTTCCATGGCCGTAGCAGCGCTTGTTCGCAGAGCTCCACCTCACCCTCACTGGGAACCCATTTCTTATGCAGAGGCAAAGATGATCCTGCATGGCGGTGACAATGAAAAAGAGAGCTGCTTGTATTTGTTGAGTATAATGGCACTGAGGAGCTTGTGTCTCCCAGTGGCCATCGGCCAATTTCTCTAAAATGGGTCTACAAGTGAAGAAAGATGAGAAAGGAGATGTGATCAAGCACAAGGCTCGGCTTGTTGCTCGTGGGTTTGTCTTGACAAGAGGGTGTTGATTATGAGGATGTGTTCGCTCTGCTATGCTATGCGCATAGAATCGAGTGAGGCTCTTTGCTTGCTCTAGCTGCCCAGGAAGGATGGACTGTCCATCATATGGATGTCAAGTCAGCTTTTCTAAATGGAGAGCTCAAGGAAGAAGTATATGTCCAGTGACCACACAGGTTTGCTATTCACAGGGGAAGAAAGCAAGGTATATCGCTTTGCACAAAGCTTTGTATGGGCTGAAGCAGGCACCAGGCGTGGAACGCTAAGTTGGACTCTACTCGAAGGAAATGGGGTTCAAACAGAGCAAACATGAAGCGACAATTTCTGTGAAAGGTTGAGAGGGCTCAAGTGTTCTTTGGTTGGGGTCTATGTTGATGATCGATCATCATTGGAGCGATCAAAGATGAAGTAAAGGCTTTCAAGGAAAGGATGAAATCCACCTTTGAGATGAGTGACTTGGGTTTGCTCGGTTTCTACCTTGGCATTGAAGTGCGACAAGGCAAGAATGGGATCACCATGAGGCGGACTCACTATGCCAAGAAAATCCTAGAACCGGGAAGCATGTCGATTGCAATCCGGCAGCTACACCAATGGAAGAGCTGAAGCTCGGCAAGCATAGCACTTGCCAAGGAGGTGAATCCAACTCGATATAGGAGGCTGGTTGGAAGCTTGAGATACTGGTTCATACCGAGGCCTGATTGGCTTTCTCGATTGGGCTATGTGAGCAGATTCTTGGAGAAACCGACCATTGAGCACCAAACAAGCGGTCAAGAGGTCTTTGAGGTACCCATTTGGAACATTGGACTATGGTCTGCAGTTCAAAAGAGCCCCAAATTCTGCTAGGTTTGTGGGCTCTTGTGATTGAGACCTAGCCGGTGATATTGACTCAACAAAAGCACAACAGGTTGTCTGTTCTTCTTTGGCAACAACTTGGCCTTGGTCGGTGGCAATCTATCAAAGAGGGTGGTGGCTTTGTCTAGTTGTGAGGCTGAATATGTGGCTATGACTTGACAACACAAGCCCTGTGGTCGCCAAGATTGTTGATTGATTTGTTGGGAAGAAAGGTGGAGACTGTGGGCGAGGGTTGACAACCCGATCCGCAATAGCACTTGCAAAGAACCCTGTCTTTCATGATGAAGCAAGCATATCGAATCAAACAACACTTCATCGAGATTGTGTTGAAGAAGGCAACATCAAGGCGAGTTTGTCGCCACAAATGATCAATGGCGAGACATTACGAACTAAGGCCTTAGGCAAGGCCAAGTTTGAAGACATGAGAAGCAAGATTGGTATCATGAAGATCAAGGATGGGGGAAGCAGGTCTTAGGGGAGAAGCTGTAGAAGTTAAGTCCTGCTCCCAGTTATCACTTAGTTATCGTGCTTAATTATGTTTCTGCTATTAAGGCCTTGGGCAGCACAAGTGACTGTGCAAGTACCCAGGCAGTTAGCTGTTTAGTTAATGCTCTAATGAGCCATCAATGTAATCAATGTGCTACTTATCTCCTATATATGAAAGAGCAAACTGTTGCACATGTCCACATTCACCTCATCCCGAGGAAGAAAGGGGATTTTGAGAAAAATGATGAAATATATGACGCGGTTCGTGGCCCATTTTTCTATCAATCTGGTTATTTTATTACAATATCCAATCAAACAAAGCTTACCCTTTTCCTTGCTATGATAGATTGATGTGAAAGAGAAAGAATTGAAGGAGAAGCTTGACCTGGACATTGAGAGGAAAGATAGAACCATGGAAGAAATGGCTCATGAGGCCAATGAGTACCGTGCTCTTTTCTCCTAGAATTACATGATCTAGTATAGTAGTTAGATTCTAAGTTGAGCTGACTGTTTGCTAGAAATAAGGCTTGCTACTTGCCCTTCGTTGTCGCAGTTCAGTTACGATTGCGCACTGACATTGTGATGGTGTCCAGTTCTGGTGGTATGTTTTGTACTGTGGAGAAATAATCATTTGTTGCAAGGAATGCATTCCAAGTGACAAATCTTTTAGATTAGAAACTTTTTTTGTGTGTGTACTATGGAGCATCAACTGTTTTCTAGAAGATTATGTCTTTACTGCAGTATTTTTCTTTGTGAAATTGTAAGAGAGGATGTACCATTAGTCACAATTTACACTGTCAGCAGTTTATGCAGGATTAGTTAAATCAAACGTCCATATACTGTTAAACGGAATTGATTAGGACAGAAAAATTGTGTTTAGTTCTTTTGTGGCGAGCTAAAGTTTTATTCCTACTGCCAACTGTTCATTATGTTTTGTTCTGTGCTAGGAGAATCTTGGCTGACAGCAGCCTTTTCACTGAATAAGTTATTTATTTGCATGATGCGTCTGTCCAAATATCAAAAGTTGATCTGATTCATGAATGCAAGATTCTGATCATCCCTAGCTGTTGTAGGCCTAGTTAAACTTTATTCCATGCCCCCATGCTGATGCTTATGTTGTACAGTAAGTTCTTGACAACTCAAATGTTCTGATTGAAATCATGCTGATTGTTTCAGCTTTATATCCTTTTGTAGCAGTACTTTGAAAAACATGGATCATGGCTTTTCACTTTTTGTTTTATTTGTCTTTGTTGTTGTCTTATCCTGTGAACTTTTTTTGTTTTGGAGGTGGGGGGGAGAGGTTATGGTCCATTGATCACAATTGATGTGATATAAGAGTGTAAAGAGGGCACCGGCTTTGCTTTGTCTTGAATGTTAACAGTTGGCGTTGCTTTACGCATATGTAAGCACATCTCTTGTAACTGGATAGATCCTCAATCCCCTACCGTCGGGGACCTAATACCGGGGTACCCCAGAAGGTGGAACCAATAACCACCGAACGTTAAAAACTTCTGGATGCATACGAGCGTTGCTTCACCCCTCACGGGAATGACAGGAGCTTGGTTCCACCTCGCCCGACGCCTTTGGGGTGGGCTCGGTCTTGCCCGAGGGCCGAGGATTAGTCTCCGTCTCGCCCGACGCCTTTTGGACAGGCTCGATCTTGTCCAGAAGGCCGAGGATAAACCCGACTTCACTTTGGACGCCTTTGATGTGGCTCTGCCCGCCCGAGGGGCAGAGGCTAGTCTCCGTCTCGCCTGACGCCTTTAGGCGGGCTCGGTCTCGCCAAGGGGTGAGGATAGATTCCGCCTCGCTTGAGCCGGAGGAGCAGGGTCGGTCTCGCCAGGAGATAGGGATTGGTCTCGCCGCCTGCGGCGGCAAGGAACAAGCCTCACTCTGCTCCATATATCTAAAGATTGGATTCATCTTACGACCACTTCTCCTGTTCCCTCAAGATGATAGAGACAGGGGCAAGACAAGACGTTCAGGTCAACCGTGGCTCCAAGAACCATACTGCACACTGGCGGGAAAAATCTTACCGCCGGGGATGACGGGACAGGCGCTTTAGGCCCTTCCAGGCGCGCCGCAGAGCACGAAAGGTGTTCTGGTCTGAGCTCTCCACCCTCAGAGTTGTAGGCGCCGCCTTTCAGCTCTGGGACACGGAACCCAGCGAAGATATCGACAACCGCTCACGCTCGAGAAAAGGATTTGCTATCTCCACGAGCAGCGGATATTCCGTCACCACGCTATGGACCCAAGGGGCGGCGCCGCTTCCCGACCCTCGGGTCCACCAAGACAGAAGACCTTGGCCACGGCGCTACTCCAGACCCGACCCCACGTCCCTCAAGCGAAGACTCATAGGAACGAGAAGGCGTGCGGAGCAAAGTGGGGAGGCTCAAAAGTCAAAACCAACATCTCTGCGGCCCATACCTGCGCGTAGGTAGCATTCTGTAACCAACGACATTCTACAGAGACATCGACAGCAGTATTGTAGGCGCTTATCTTCCTTCGCACTCATCGAATGAATGAAGAATCGGCCGGGTGAGCGTGAGCCACAAGACTAAGTAGAGTACGCATCCTAAAGCCCTCACCCTTGTAAAGCCCGGCCCTTCATCTATAAAAGGGATGCGCTTCCTCCATAAAGAGGAGGGAAAAAGACCGAACAAGGCGACACACAGATACACACGGTCAAGTTGTGTCGAACCTCTTGACATCCCTTCAACCCTTCCATCGAGAGACTTGGGACCGGTCCCTCTCTCGATCGTTTGTACCCCTTACTACAAACCGTTCACGGTGCTAATAACACGGCGACAACAAAGCGGGCGTAGGGACTTTCGGCCCGAACCGGTATAAATCTTGTGTCCTTTAGCGCACCATCCGAGCCTAACGCGCATTACTATAAATTTAATTGCGGTGCTTATGCGAAACACCGGCGGTTAGCGCGTCGGTGGGGAGCTGCGGCGTTCCAAATCGAGCCTCGGATGGCCACCCGCAATCACACGGGTCCGGGGCGCTGCGTGCGTTTGGCGACCTAGATTTCATCATCACACTAGAAGGAGAGTTGGCGCGACTCACTCTGCGCCCCATCTCTCCCTTCCATCAACCTCGGCCGTCTTAGGCTTGAGGGCCCGCGAGGCAACTCCACAGGAGTCCGGTCACCAAGGGAGGTCTCGCTGGCGTCACCCTATGTCGAGAAGGTCCCGTCACGGGCGCCCGACAACGTTTCCGTTTGGTCTCCGAAGCGGCTGCGGCGACCGCTAGCCACCTTCTGGCGCTACGGATGGTTCGATCACCCACGGACATCGAGTTCGTGGGGCGATTGAACATAATCACGGAGACCCTTTACGGGCTCCTCAGCGAGAGCGGGATCGTTCTCTAGCTTCGGATTCCAGTGAGGGAGCCACCACCCTTCCGGGAGTGCTTCATGACCACAGACCCCGAAGGTCACGTCGAAAGCGCCTCCGGGAAGAGGTCACCAAACAACCAACGACGACAGCAGATCCGGGAAGAGATGACAGCCCCATCTCGCCTAAGGATGGAGCGGTGAGGCCCGTCGGCAAGAGATCGATGAGGCGGGCAAGGCTCGTCGGGAATACGCGGACATCAATCGTGAGATTGAACGCCAAAAAACGAAGCGAAGCAGCGCGGCTCGCACCGTACATCGGAGGATCCTCACCGGCGATGGGGCCCTTCCTCACTTTGCCCGAAAGCCGGCCGAACATCGCCGCAAAGCAACCGCCGCGCGCATGGCCTTCCGGAGGTCTGCGACGTCGAGGATCGCCGCGCTCGCCGAGAGATTCACACGTTGCTTTCGAGCGGCGGCGGCGCGATGGCGGAAAGTTCGTTGTCTCGCGCAGCCGCGAACCCGACACTAGCGGTAGCGGCGCCCTCGGTGCGTCCCACCAAGGCCGCATCCGTACACCAAACACCGCCAGCCGGCGGGCAGCCCTCCGTCGTCCCAGTACATCAACGCCTCGGCCATGGCGCGGCGTCGCGACATCATCGGCGCTCGGAGGCGTGCCTGGCGGCGATGGATGAAAAGCGACGCGCGCGGCTATCATCCCCGACGTGGTGGCCTTCACGACGACAGCGAGGACCGAAGCCCGAGCCCTGACTGCCCGGCCCTCGGGCCTTCGCCGACACATCCTCAGCGCTGCGTTCCCCTAAGGTATCGACCGTCTACCAACATCTCTAAATATTACGGCGAAACAAATCCGGGCTTTGGCTCGAAGACTATCGGCTTGCATGTCGGGCGGTGGTGCAGTGATGACAACTTCATTATTCGCAATCTCCCATTGTTCTTGGCGATTCGTAGCGAGCATGGCTGGAGCACCTACCGTCCAATGCTATTTGAGTTGGGCGGATCGGCGGAGAGATCTTCGTGGGTAACTTCGGGGCACATACAAACGCCACAGAAACCCATGGGACCTCAAAACTACCGCCCGGAAGGCCAATGAAACCCTTCGCGGGTACATTCGGCGCTTCTCTCGACAGTGCAACGAGCTCCCGAACGTCGCCGACGCCGACGTGATAGGAGCCTTTCTGTCCGGGACGACCTGCGAATCCCTGGTCCACAAGCTGGGACGCAGGGGCCCGCGGACTACCAAGGAACTCCTAGACATCGCCACCAGTCACGCCTCTGGAGAGGAAGCGGTCGGAGCCATCTTGACCGCCGAGCCGACAAGAAGGCGGCGGGACAAGGCCGCCCAAGCGAAGGCACCTCCGACCCGTCCGCCAAGAGAAAAAATAAGAAGCAAGACGCGACAACCCGCTCGTGTCCGTAGCCGACCCAAAAAAGGTGGCGGAAGCTGTGGAAGGCACTCCGAACCACCGAGAAAATGCTCGAGGGGCCATGCCCAAACCACGCCTTCGGCCAAGCATCTATACAAGGAGTGCGGCCTCATGCGCAAATACTTGGCCGGGGACTTAACAAAGGGGCGGGGAAGGAACTGTCCTCGCCACGGAGGACATGAGAGGAGAAAAACGGCGCCTTCCCAACGCCGACCGGCGCCCTTATGATCTTCGGAGGATCAGCGGCCTATGACTCAGTAGCGCGCCGAAGGTCGCCCGTCGCGAGGTCTATATCGCCGGACCGCCACGCATGACCTTCCTCCGGTGGTCGGAATCCGCCATCACCTTCGACCGGACCGACCATCCGGATGCCGTCCCACACCCGGGAAGGTACCCGCTTGTCGTCGATCCGATCGTCGGTCCAAAGCGGCTCACCAAAATCTTGATGGATGGGGCAGTGGCCTCAACATCATGTCGCCAAAACGCTTCGACGAAATGGGCGTCGACCCGAACAAACCTCCGTCCCATCCGAGCACCATTCCATGGCGTCGTGCACGGTAGGCAAGTCGTACCTGCCAGGCGGATCGACTGCCCGTCACTTTTGGGGATCGGTCCAATTACGGATGAGATCCTCACCTTCGATGTAGTGGGGTTCCGGGGACTTTCACGCCATCT